GCGGCCAGGGCCGCCCCCCAGCCTCGCCCCCCTGGCAGCAAACGGGGCTGTAGCAAACTGAGAGCCCATGCTCAGCTCCGAGTGCCCCAGGGAAAAGGGGCAAATGGAAAACCGTGAATGCAAGTTCTAAACCTGAAACTTCACTGGGGGTAAAGGTACTTTTGTGATCTCCAGAACCTCAGTTTTCAGGCTAATTCTTTGTTATGTTTGTGTATCTACTTGGCAGGGGCATTGCAGGGTTTTTGAACAGAACCACCCCTACCCAGCCCTTTTATCCCCACTGCACAAGCCTTGTGTTACAGCCCTGGCCCATATCTAGGTATTGGCTTGCCGTGCATCATGGACTGCTCAATTCTTCATCATGCAAACACAATTACTCTGCATTAAATATAGGCCAACGTTATTAGCCCTACACCTTTACTGTTAATGGATTCTGTTACTTTGACAATAAGTCTGCCTTTCCATACTACTATATGGAAGAGGAGCTATATGGAAAAGGGTTTGTTTGTTTGGTTCTTGACTCTTTTTTCCTATCCTCAGATAAAAACCTGGTTTCAGAATCGCCGTATGAAGTTCAAACGCCAGACTCAAGATGCCAGGATCGAAGCTCTTTTCTCGGGCTTGTTTCTGCCCTGTCATTGTTACCCAGACACGGCTGCATCCAGCTGTCCTCATGGGGTGGATGTCAATGTCCCTGCTACCTCTGCTGCTTCCCTTCACCCGGCTGTGCCAAACCCTGCCTTGTTGTTACCTTCTGTTCCAGCTCAGTCTCTTCAGCCAGTTTTGCCAAGTCCAGCTTTACTGTTGCCTCCCGGGCCAGGATTATCTTGTTGCTCTTCTGTGCTTCCAGCAATGACTCTAAATACTGAACATAAAAGACTGATGTTCCAACCAGATCTTCCCTCCTGTTAAAAATGTAAACGATTATCTGTAATCTCAAAAAAGTGCCAAATATCTCTAAGAGTAACTAATTATTTTGTTATATTAGATAAAGATTCTTTGAATTATTTTCTTTACATAAAAAGTTCGATTAGAGGAGAAAATAATTTATTCATATTAGAGAAGTTATACTGAGAGTGGAAGCGGAGGACATGAAATCTTATTTCTAGAGTTGTCATCATGCTGTATAGAAATTTCTATATAAATTTTCTTACCTAAAAGTTTTCAGAAAATAACCTATAATCATGTGGGGATATCCACTCAAAAAGTGGAGTACTGTATACACTGAAATTTATGTAGTAACTATGTTTTTTAATAGGCAATGGTGGTAAAAACGTTGTCCATTCTACCTGAGTGGGAGTTTTTAAGAAAACATTTGTGAGCTACAGCCAAGTGCATTTAAATAAAAATGTAACCAAAGGTAAAAATGCTATCAACAAAACCGAACAAGTTGCCCAGTGTTCTCTTTTATGTGTATATTCTGGACCGTTCTTCAAGTGGTCTCACCTGTTTTTGATGGACATGTTGCATTTATGCATTAAAAGAGAGATAAAGCTAAGGAATTAAGAGGCAAGCATGCATGTTGATGCCAATGTCAAGCATACTTGTAATTTAAATCTGATTATGAAAAGAATTGTTCACCAATTCAGGTCTCTTGGGACTCTGAAAAAGAAAACATTTCACTTTTTACTTCCAGAAGTTGCAGCTGTAACTTAATAGCCTCCCTAATTTTTAAGCTGCAGAATAAGTTAAGGCTTGATCTTAGGAACACTTAGGGATGTTCCTAAAAGTCACTAAGCAAGTTTTACGGAAAGTAGCAAAATCAAGTGTTTAGACTATGGGAAACCAGAGACCTTACATCAGCATGAAGCAGCTGCAGCAGGTGTGACTACGTCTTCTACCCCAGACCAGACCAATCTAACTTGCTTGCTAGGTGATGGTTAGACTACTCTGCAGCTGTAAAGAGAGAAAAAATGAACACCAAAAAAAATAAAAAACAACCCACCACTAACAAGGAAAATACCCAAATCCCCCCTTTCATCTGCTCCAAAGACAAAAAAAAAAAATAGAAAAAGAGGCCTGCCACAGCTTTGTGCCATGCATTCCCTCTCCCTTCTCCCTCCACCCTCCATGTCCGTGTACCCTCCCCCAGCGCCTCCCTCCGTGGCGTTTGGCAGCCAAAAGGGAGGGGGGAAGCTGGGAGGCACCCGAAGGAATTTCCGCCTCCACACCGCTCCTCTGTGCCCCGCCAGGGCAGCGCCGGTCCGCGACACAGCCAGGCAGCTGAAGGGACGGCCTGGCATTTCCAGGTCACTTTGAGCACACTTCACAGAATATTCCCTTTACCCCTTCCAAGTGTTTTTTCACAGGTGAGAAGCCCTTAGGCTATTACATCGAAACTCATGATGACTCAGCGCATTAGAGGGTGGAAATTTAGACTATAGTGCAACAATCAAATAATGTATTTAAAAGGCCTTACAAATGAATTAACAAGACTTCATTAAAATCGAGACTAAGAAATAAGTGTTAAGAGAGCACTTTTAGGAGTGAACACCACTCCCAGGAGGAACTAAAAAAACCCAACACCTTTCAAGATTACTAAAGCAAAAGTTTACGTTTAGAGGAAATAGATCAAATTGCCTAAAGAAGTGCAAATTGCCAAGTACGCAGTTATAATTGTTTTCTAGCGGTGAGACAAGGGCCAAATTTTCAGGTTACAATCACAATCAGATGATATGGCTTTGAACCAGACACAAATATGCCCAAATTTTTTTTTGCCTAGCATTTGCTTTGGCAATTGTAAAACTTGAAAATTCCATCATGAAGGCCTAATTATGTTAATTCCTTTTAAAAGACATGTTGACTTAATAAATATAATTACCTCTGCTGCCTTCACATGGAAGACGGGACTGAACTTGTAATATTTTAGTTATATCCACTGAGAAACTCAGTGACAACTTACCCTTCCTCTGGAGGATGTACTTAGCTCAAAGCACAGTGCAGAGCAACTGGTGCAGTTGCATCTGTCCAAGCTACCAAACAACTCATCAACAGATAGACAATCTCGGTGGGACAGTAGGAAAGACAGACAAAATGTATTTAACCTTTAAATCCACTACCTTTACACAGGAGGACAAGTGACCACTGCAATTTGCATTGCACAAGTGTAATCTTTTATAGAGTTGACAATATAACCCTGTTTAAGTTTTATTAATATATATAAACACATTTATGAATAAACTAGGGGGAACAATGAAGACCATCTACATAACATATTAGACTAGATTAATTAATATTTAATATTATCAAATATAAAATTATTAATTCTCATATTTAATTTAATAAAGACATTCTTTCAAATCAGGCAAGGGATTCTGAGCATAAAATACATTACAGTATAAAACACTTTTCTATCACTATAATGCATATACTGGGTGGCATTGCGTGTCCATTTTGTTCTGAAGAATGGGATGGAAAGAAGGATGAGGAAGCAGGTGCTGATGGTAGTAGGGCAGTTCATTTGCCATTAAGTGGTAGGCGCTTTGGGATGCGTCGTATCTGGGAAAGGAGAAGCTGAACTGCACAGCAGGCACCGGGGTGAAAGGCAGGAGTCTCTGGTGCTGGGCAGCAAAGGGGTAGTGGAGACCATCCTGAAACAGAGCTGGGGAGGGCCCCGGGGCGTAGCTGTGGAACGGAACCGGGGACACGAGGCTGTGCTGGTGGTCCTGGATCTGTCGCTTCAGTTTCATCCTCCGGTTCTGAAACCAGGTCTTAATCTAGGCAACAAAAAGAAGGGGGAGATGCAGGAGACAAATCAGGGACTTTGCCTAAGGATAATGTGCAAACTATAAACAACTGTATCTCAGCTGCTTTTGCCCTGTTGCTTCAGATGGAATTGACACAGAGGGACTGATGGTTTTGCCCTACGTAGCAAAAGGCAGAAGATCTGCGGGAAGTAGAGAAGAGAGTGGCTGAGTTCAGGGATTTTACAATAATCAGTTAGAGTCTTTAAGACCAGTTTTGAGCTCTGCATGGTTTACACGCAGATCACCGTATATCCAGGACTGTTTATCCCACTAACAAATAAAAATACCTTGACGGCTTCCAGATAGAAAGTGCCACAAATTTCCCGGAGTGATAACTCGTTAATCCCCGAGAGATCCCACAGCCCCTATGTCCTGGGTTGACTATATGATGCTTTTATCCCCAACCGTCTCAAAGGTCTGTTCATCGCAGTAAAGACAGATGTGGAACCGCCAACCCTGGCTGCTCCTGCCAAGCGGGGCCGGGAAGGATCCGCTTCCTGCGGGACTCACCTGGATCTCCGAGAGCTGCAAGGCAGCCGCCAGCTTCCTGCGCTCCGTGGCGCCGAGGTACTTGTGTCTCTGGAAGGTTTTCTCCAGGCGGCAGACCTGCTCCGAGGTGAAGGCGGTGCGCGCCCGCCGCTGCCGCCCGCGGCCCCCGCCCGCCGCCGCGGCCTCGCCGCGCTCCGCGCCCGCGCTCTCGCTCTCGTAGCCCGAGGACTCGTCGGCGCTGAGCCAGCCGCCATCGGGGGCTGCAGGAAGAGGAGAAGCTGCGGTGAGGCCCCTGCCCGGTTGGACAGGGCCTCCGCCGCCCCTCAGCCCTGCCAGGCCGTGCCACCGGCAAGATCCCGGCGTGTTCCCAGCCCTCTCCCCTTATCTCTCGGCCTCCCACCCACTCTCCCTCCTCACGCACCTGTGTCCGACGGGCAGGGCTCGCTGCCATCCCGGGGGTGGTCCCGGCTCGGCTCGGCCGCGCAGGGCTCGCTGTCGGCGGGCTGGCCCGGCTCGGGGCTGCTCCGGCGGGGCTTGGCCCTGACCAGCAGCGTGGGGCTGCCCAGCGAGCTGGGGGCGCGGGGAGGGGGCGCACAGCAAATGTGGGGCCTGCCCCCATTGGGCTTGGTCTCTGCCGAAGGGACCTGTGCCTGATTCACCTGATCCATGGCTGAGTCGGGCTGGGTGACCCACGGCCGGGTCCGCTCTTATATGGGCCCTCCGTGCCGGGAGGGGTCGTTTGTAAGTGCGAACACACATCAAAGTGGGAATCGGGCAGAGATAACAGCTACCAGCGAGGAAGAAAGTTCACACGTCTGGCAAATGTCTACAGCCCTTGGCTCCAGCGTGTCTGCGGGGCCGGGGAGACCCCCTTGAAGTGCAAAGCTGCCCCTCTCCCCCGGAGGGCAGGGCACGGGCAGCCCCAGCCTCGCAAACCGCCTCCAAAAACACCGTGACTGCCGGTGCCAGCGCGGGTTCACCGCCCCCTTCTCAGCAGAGGGGTCCCACACTGCACAATGCCCGAAACCAGCCTCGAGACCCGCACCCACGGGGCCGGGGCAGGGATGAGGGACAAGGAACCTCGGGTACAGCCTGCCAGCCCCGCCGTCCTTTTCCCTCCCTGGGAAAAGCCACGGGGTGCCAATGTCGAGAAGTCCCTATCCACGGGGCTCAGAGCCAGGCTGGGGGGGAGCAGAGCCTCGGTCCTCTCAGCTTGAACTTGGCGCCGCCTGTCTAGCCAGAAAACGCAGCCCATCGCCCCAATCGTTTAGCGATCAAAGCGCTGGGTGAGCAGCGCAGCTCGCACCTCATCAGCTTCATACTGCAGCAATCCATGTGCCGCTTCCCGACAAGGACGGTGCCCTTGTAATGCAGGGAGGATACCAAGACACCTCCCAGCACCGCTTGGTTGGGGGAAAAGGGCATCTCGGCAGCTCAGCCCGTCTCCAGGTTCTTCTTTTGTTCAGCTCTACCGGGATTTTTGGTCACGCCAGTAAAAAATACCACACCGAGCACGAGCACGCCTGCAGTAGAATGGAAGCGAGCGCCAATCCCTCTAACTGGGTAAATGCACTGACAGGACCTCAATTTCAATGACGATTCCAAAATCCTCAGAGTTCCTGCTCGGATGCATCACCGGAAGAAGTGGAGCCCATAAACCCTGGTCTGACAGGGTCTGTTTCTTTCTAAACCACAGCAATAATCTAGGTTCCCACACACACGGGCAATGTGAAAGGAAAAAAGTAGTCAACCAAACCCCAACTAAACCATCTCCCCAGTTTATTATGAAAATCGTTTGGGAAAAACCCCTCATGTTCGTGCTATTAATTTTTACTGTCTCAGGTGTTCCCGTAACTCCGTGGCCGGGGGAATGTGTCCAGGGTTATCAACCCCTCCCCATCCCACATAGTCTGCTTGTCCCTCCCCCACGCTGGCCCCGGGGGAGGGATAAAGCCCAGGCACCCGAGCAATGCAAACCCCTCACCAAGCGCTGGATTCCTCCTGAAGCTTTGCTTGCAACACCGTCCCCTCGGGGCAGGGATGGAGAAGGCTGTTGTTCGCTCGGCACAGCCTCGACAGAGAGATCCCCCTGCTCTTTGCGGGGTGCTGGGCACAGCTACTAAAGGGGTTTCACTTATTGCTGGCACAGACTGTCATTTTGGCTGATATGCGCAAACCAATGCAAATGTCCAAGCAGTTGAACACAGCTGGATCCCACCCTGGATCAGAACCGCACACCTGTGAGTGCCACTGACCCAAAACCACTGTAACATGAACATTTAAATCCTAGACACATGTCAGTCAAGCAGGGATAGGTTTTGTTCCCCAAATGAACTAAGAGCCTGCACATTAATTTTAATAACTTCAGGATTTAATAACGATTCCTTAACTATCCCACTCGTGTTTGGTCCCTCTTTTTCTGAAGCAAACACATCACTATTTTATCTCCAATCTTTCTTCAGAGCAGCAATTTCTGAATAACCTCATATGTGGACAAATCCAAGCAGAAAAACTCATGTTCTGCCACATAGAAACTCATGCACAGCAAGCTGTCCTTGGTAAAGCAGTGAGTGCTATCTGCAGAGCCTGACTACCTCACCAGAAAGAAGTTTAGACACAATACATGAAAACCACTGGTATTCAGGTGCTCCCAAACAGAGCACGCACTACTCAGCAAGCAGCATGAACTCTGCCTCCAGCAGGGCAGCCTCTCCCACCGTTTCTCCAGCAGAAGAAATCTGTGCCAAGCCAGGCAGCCTTGGGTCCCCCGTGCCCTGCAGGCCCCTCACCCACCCGAGCACACAAGAAACACCCAGGGACCGCCCTGCAGGAGAGACACTTCATCCCCAGCTGCCAAAATTGAACCAGACACGGGAGGACCAAGCAGTGCTGTGCCCAGAGACACCAACATTTGCACTGGTACATTATGTGTGTCTTAGGCAAATGTTATTATTCCTGAAGAGCTGCTACCATTTCCTGCCTCTCCTTTGGCTGGGAATACAGGGAAGCAGCCGACCTGTCACACAGTCAACGAAAACTATTTTTGAATTGCCTATTTAGCGGGATATTTAAACCAAACACCAGGATCCCCCCAACACCAGATGAAAGTAGCTGCATCTGTGGACCACAAAACCCTGGAACAGATGGGGAAAGTGTGGAAGGTGTTATGTGGCTATTGTAGCTCCCATTAGAAAGAGGTGGCAGCTTGAGAAACTTGAAAACTTTAACGACCCTGGGTGGACAGAGGTGCTACAGCTGCAGTTAAACCTTTCCCTCACCTTGCAGTAGTATGGGGCTCATATGAGACACAAATTTACTTCCATTCAATTCTTTCCCGTTATGTGAAATTTTTACAGCATTCAATTGATCTTTATATATAAACATGGTGAAAAAAAAAATCTAAATTCTCAGGAAAAATGATGTATTTTCCTAGAGAATTCTGTATACTCAGAACTTCAGATATTGTATAATATTGAAAAGTGGGTGGATTTTTCTTATGTGTGTTATATTAAGAACATGGTGGACCCATTTCTTCAAATCACATTTCAAAATATTTATTCCTCTGCCTTACAACCATAAGAAACACACTTGCTGCTTCAAGAAATGGACTGAAAGCTTATGCACTCTTGTAACTCGGTATGAAATCCTGAATGTCAGTGCAGGGATTCGTGCCAGGATGTGACAATCAGACACGGCTGTCAGGACAGAGTGCTCTTCCCATGTGAGCTCGACAAGGCTTCTAAGGACAAATGGCAGATTTCTCTCACTGCTATGCCTGGGAATATTTCATCTGGGGCTTTGTGCCCATGTGGCATGTAAATCCATGGGAACAGGCAAGACTGCAGCAGCTCTTCAGCATTAAGGTATTGCCTGAGGAACATCCAGCCCATTGTTCAGGCTGCTAGACACTAGATACTAATCCTTTGCCAGATGCTGAAGCACTTTTGTTGCCCAGGAATGCTGTTGGTGTGCAAAGGCCACCTTCAGCAGACCATCACATTGATTTTGCATGAAAACATAAAGAAAAAGTGGACGTATTTTGCCAACAGAAAAATAGTCTTTCTCAAGGGGAATAATTACTAGGATAGTTGGGCAAATCTTCAAGTTGCAAACTTTCTACCTGCTAGCCATGTCTGTAAGTAGACCATGGGGAAAATAAAAACCAAAAAACAAACCCAAACCAAAACCTCAAAACAATATACAGACCAAACTATGATAGTATTTATCATAGATTGAGAGTTGATGTACTAGGCCACCAGATCTGGGACAGTGGCTCCATCATAGCCAGATCCTAATTATATTTATGTAAAGCACCGATTTTCCAATGCATTATTGACAACACTGGAGGAGTGGAGACGATAGGGGGTGCAATGCCAACCACTCCACTATGAGAAAGCGAAAAACCCAACAAACCCAAGCCAAAAAGACTCCAATATTGGAACACCACAAAAAACCCCCATGGTTAGCTGCACAAATGGGCAGGAGGAGAGAGCCTGGGGAAGCGTAGCATCCCTTCAGAGGCAAGTAAACTCATTTTAAGGATCGGGGTTTTAACACGGCTAGAAGTGCAGGCAAGGCAGGACAGTCTGCTCTGCTCCAGAAGGGCCCGCAGGCAGCCGCAGGGCCCGGGCTGGGCCCCGGCCGGTGGGACAGCTGATGGCTGTTTGTACCCTCCGCTGCTCCCCTTTGGAAATGCTAACTCGGTTATTCAGCGTCTCCTTTGATGTCCTGATAGGTGCTATTAGATAGTCAATTAGGCATCAACGAGATCGATTGTTTGGGAATAGATGCTTTTCTGTTTGAAGTACCCGTGAACACTAACAGTGCCATCACCCCGCCGCTCCTTTGCCCACGGGAACAATGCGGGCTAACACACAATAAATGACAAATGCTACTGACTCAGCCCGCAGCGCTTCACCCTCTTCTCTCCCGGCTCACGCTGCAAGCCCAGATATCCCCATTCAGCCGCTGTGGGAGCAAACACGCCCTTTGCATTAAAAACGATTTATCGGGGAAATATTTCTGCGTGCTTTGCAGATCTAATGGACAAAGCACCTTGGTAAGTTAACAAGTTAGCTCGAAACAAGCTAGCACTTGAATTTCTATGCGCGCCATCGCCCCAGTGCCTAAGGTACTTGTGACACCTCCACAGTTGTTCAGAATTACCCAGACAGAATTACTAGGAGCTGAAATAAGAATTAAAGCACTTAGCCTACCTGAATACCGAAGAGACACTGGGATTAACTCCCTACTAGGTACTATTAGAGGATAACACTAGGTCGAAGCCTAGGAGTTTAAGACACAAGTATAAAGGAAAAGTAGTAAAATCTACACAAGGAACATGTCGAGACCAAGTCTCTCCTCTTTCTCCCCCCCCCCCCCCCCCCTACGGTGGGATTTATCCAGTTAATTGTCATCTAATTGAGTATCAAAGAAAGAGATAATGGGCAGCAATTAGACGTAATGGCCTAACAGTGCGAGATCTCTTTCGATTAGCACACAACGCCGAATAACTTCACCTAGTTTGTAAAGAGGTCCTCGGAGCGGCTCCACCATGTCTGGGAGCTGCAGGGGGCTGACACACCCCGGTCCCATTCCCAGTCCCCTGATGGTCGCTTTGGCCAAATTGGGACGGGCGTTCCGCGCGCGGCTGCCGGCGGCTCCCCTGCCCCGCGGTGTAAATTCAATCAGGTGTCGCCCCCTCCGCGCACGCACTGCGGGGGACAAGGCCTTTGAAGTCAGCGCTCTGGCAATTTTCCCCTCCCATCCCCTTTTCCTCCCCGGGGAGCCCAGTTTCCAGATTATACAGCCTCTTCCTCGGGAGCCGCCGGGCCGGGGGGTTCCGACAATTTCACCCCGCGAGCATTAAACTACTCCTCCCCAGCTAATCGACTCGCCTTTTTTTTTCGTTTTTCCTTTTTTTTTTTTTCTTTTCCTCCTTCCCATTTGTAGCTCGCTTGCCCCCCACACCGCTTTGTGCTGCCGGATAGCGTTCCGGGGCTGGGTTATTGCGGTTATTGAGGGCACAAAGGCGGCTGCTCCCCGCCGCGCTGCCCGGGGCTCGGCTGCGGGGCCGGAGCGCTCCCGTCTCCTGCGAGGGGCCGGTACCGTGCAGGTGTCACTGACGCTAGTGCCCCTTTACTGCTGACAGGGCTAAAACACAGTGAAGAGGAAATTCAAACAAGCAGGAAGAAAGCCTGAAGCCCGCGTTTCTTTCTCTCAGATCAAAGGGAAAAAAGTGCATTTATATTTAAATGCTAGAGTTGGACGGCTTTAGCAAAAATGAAATTACTTCACATAAAGCTTTCTAAACAACTGGAGCGTAGTAGTTGCCTTCTAGACTTCTAGAAAAAGCCGATTTTTGCAGGTCGGCGAGAAATGATCATGTAGACATTCGGGGGAGCCTGTTACTATTAGGAACTCGGCCAAGTGCGCATCACCTCTCGCGTTCATTTCAGCAACTACCGGGAAACAGAACAGTATTTGCAAGCTACCCCTGCCATAAAACTGGCAAATTATTTCATGCTCTTGTTGAACATACCTGTGGCCAAGGAGTCATTATGTTAAGTGACCATTAGCACCCTTTCTAACAGAGATCGGCTTCTGTCTCGCCAGCCGCTCTGCAGCTCGTACGCCCGGAGCTGGGATGCCCCGTTAGTCCCGCTAACCAGCGCTCGGCCCTGGCACAAAACCCGCCAGCCCAGCCAGAGCAGGGGGAGCCGGACACACCCGCCCGGGCCCGCTGGGCTCCATCCCCGAGACCGACCGGGGCTGGTGTCCCTCGGCCTCGCAGTCCCGCTTGTCCCGGCGCGGGCTTGAGTCACGGCAAGGACGGCAGCGCTGTGTGCTGTGCCCGGCAGCACCGGCTGCCTCTGCCTGGCCCTAAACATCTGCACGGAGGGGAAGGGAAGCTGCTGCCCCGCTCCGGGCACCGCCGGAGCCGAGCTCGGGGCGGGCAGGGCAGGGCAGGCTGGGGCCAGGTTACGAGTCCGGGAGCAGGGAGGGCAGACCCAGGAGATGAGGGCTTATTCAGAGCCACCCCAGATCACTTCTCCCCGGGGACATAAGGGTGTGCTCCGCCTCTCCCTCTTTAGCGTTGGGGTGACACCCTCCTCCCCTGCACGAACCCCAACCCTGCAGCTCCCCTCCCAGGAAGCAGCTCCCCAGCGCAGGCGGGAGCGCTTTGTTCTCTCTCTTTCCATCTGTCTCTCACTTCCCCCCGGCCCAGCTGCGGCGCTGCCCGTGCCCGCTTCCCTTCCCCCTCCCCCGTTTGGCCCGGGGTGCGGCGCTCCCGGATCGCTGCGGGCAGTCCCGGTGCCCTCAGGGAGCGCTCCGTCCCTCCACCCCCAGCTTCCCGTACCGCCGCTCTGCCCTCTGAGAGCAGGAGGGGTTATTCCCATTATTCCTTTCGTTCGAGCTGAGCAGAGCATTTGGAGAAGTGGTGGGAGTCTCTTCTGTGGCCATACGAGATTATAAAGGGAACTCCTAACCCTTCAACTATTACTCCCTTGAAAACAGAAAGCCACATGGAGTCTAATGCTTTTTATGATAAGTTGTACATTTATGGGCCTTGTCTGCTTTGTTATTTTAAACACGACTGCTTTAGAGCAGAGGAAAATATTCACGATTGCAGCTCTTTGTGGAGACACCCCAGTTCCCTGATGACGTTTGAAAGTGCCAAAGAAATTTCTTCAAATCAGTATTACCGTTTAATGATACCTGACTTCGAGAAATAAGCCTCCATCAAATGGGAAATTCACTTACGTGTCAACAAACTTCCCTGAGACCTCATCAAGATTGATAGCACCTTAGCCCTTTTTAATTTAGCTGAAATTCTTGCATGAGAGACACACAACTTGTGCAATTGCAAACAGATACTATTATCTCAAAAGACTAGAAAAATACAACGTAGATTACAAAAAAATCAAGACTTGCAGAGGTGACTGCAAAGCCCAGTGCCCACAGCAGCACATAATGTTGCTTTTCACCAGTCAAGGGTACTCGAGTGGGAGATTGGCTTCTGCATACAAAAGATATTCAGGAGGCTGACAGAGAACCCTCAGACCATTCATTACAGGAGTTTAAATTACCAGTGTGCCGGAAATATCCTGGTAACCCCCAGATCACATCTAAAGTCATGGAAATTTTTATTGCTCTTTTCATGTTAGTTGACAATTGGCTTTGAAAGATTTATGTTAACTTACAGTCAAAGATAATTTCTCAGAGCCCTTTTTCGGGCCTGAAATCAGGCCATTTTGATCATCAGCTTATTAGCTCATTATCCAAATTTTTAAAGTTCGTATAGCACAGTAAGGAATTGTACTGCCTCTTATGGAAAACCAGCTTTGGAATGCTGAAATTCTTTTGATCATCACTGTTGTACCCTGATAACTGCATGTAAAATGACCAGATACTGTTTTGTAGATAAGAAATTTCAAGACCCTTTCCAGGATCTGTTTAGGTAAGAAGGTCTTACTAATCTACTGAGGCAGCCCATAAAATTGTGAAAATATAATATCATACTTATTTAGAAAGTAATTTTTAAAACATTTAGACTATCTGTTCTACTACTATAGCAAGCCCAGTATTGAGTAACAGGTGTATCCACATATTTGGCTAAAAGCACAGTTTCATGACAGGATACCTGCTTTAGAAGACAGAGGGAAATTCACACTTTTTTGCATTCAGTGGCAGAATAAATTGCAGATGGGGCAGAACAAATCTAGGTAAGAAGGAGTCTATGCTTCTTTAAGTGAAGAGAAGCTTTCTTTTGGGGCAGGATGAATACTTCTACAACCCTTAACAAAGGAATTCACATGAAAGCTGGAAAAAAATTTAGGTTTATTAAAAGATTCCATTTATATTATTGTTTGTCCCACCCCGTTTATATTTTACATTTTACAGTTGCCTATAAATGCAAGGGCCAGAAGTCCATGATTCAGATTGTCCAGCATCTCTTTGTAAATATTTAGGTCGGTGCTGCATCATAACTCCACCAAGCAGTTATGGACGAGGGCAGCCCAGAGACCCGGGAGTAGTGCAAATCCTCTTTAGTCCTGGTTGGTGTCAGAGGGTCAGACACCGAGCAGGAAGGCCCTGGGGTCCCGGTACCCCACGAAGCAGGGCGCTGCCCACAAGCCGACCGGCTGCGCTCTGCAGGCGCTGCTGAGGTCCAGGGCGGGTGCGGGCAGGGCCGCCAAAGGGAAGCCCTCAGGTGCGGCCCCTTGCCTGGGCAGAGGCGGTGGCCGGGCCACGTACGTGAGCGGCAGGGGCAGCACGGCGCCCTGAGGTCCGTAAGGGAGAGCGGGGCTGCAGAAGGGCTCCGTCCTCAGCTCCTGCAGCTGCCGCTTGAGCTTCATCCGGCGGTTCTGAAACCACGTCTTGATCTGGTGGGGAAGGAGAAAAGACGAGGTTATAGTTACAACGCCACCGAGGCTTGGTTATCTGGTTGTTTGGAGCCGTGCCGTGGCCGTTCCCCGCTTACCTGCACCTCGGAGAGGCGCATCCTGCCCGCCAGCTGCCGCCGCTCGGCCGCGCCCAGGTACTGCTGCCGCTGGAAGGAGCTCTCCAGGGTGCTGATCTGCTCCGCGCTGAACGCCGTGCGCAGCCGCCGCCCGCCGCGCCCGCACGGCTCCTCGGGGCCCGCGCACTCGGGACCGTCCTCCGGCACCGCTCCCGACGGCCTCCCGCCTGCTGCTGTCCCGCCTGCTCCTGGGCACAGGGACAAAGAGGAGCAAAGGGTCAGCCCGGCCTGGGCGCCGCGCGGGGAACCGCCGCCCCTCCGCCCCGAGCAGCCCCCGCGCACCGGTGCCTTCCCGGGCAGGCCCGGGGGTGTCCCAGCCCCGCCGCCCCCGCCCGGGAGCCCCTGCGGTCCCGCGGTACCTGCGGCGGGAGTGGCCGCCCCGCTGTCCCGGCTCCGGCCGCCCGTCCCGTCCCCGTCCCGAGGGCCCGCCGGCTGCTCCGGGCTCCGCTCGCCCTGACCGAGGCTGGAGCCGCAGCCGGGCCCGTGGCCCGCGGACGATGCTCGGTGTGGGGGGCCCTCGGTGGGGGTCTTGAGAGTTTGGCTGCTCTGGGACAACCATTCCACGGAGAAAGGGGCCTTAGTCATCGTGCCTCGCTTCGGAGATGCCGGGAAGGAGGCGCGGAGTACAGGCCTCTCCTTTATAGCGCAACTCCCGGAGGAAAACGTTGTTTGTGTAAATACACATCAAAGGGCCAGATAAGTATCATCTAATTGCTATCAGACCTCCCCCCCAACAAAAGATATCGTTCACACATTGCCCCAGCTCGCGGAGGCTCGGCTCCGCCGTGTCTGCCCCTGAGGAGTTCACTCCGCCGTCAGTGATTTACAGCTCTTGTTACATCCTATCCCCATGCAAATGGCATTTATGGAGCTGAGCAGCCTCAAACGGCGCTGGGGAATGTACCCCCGGGGGAGCACAGCATCCCCGGCCGCTGCAGGGAGCAGGGACGCTGCCACTTCCGACTCCCTTCCCCTGGAGTTGCTCTTCCATTCCTTTTCAAGCACCAGGCCCACTGTTCTTCTCCAGCCTGCTCCTCTCGGGGCTCAGCACTGCGTTCCCAAGACAGCCTAGGCCAGGCAAGAGGAGAGACTCACTCACTGGGTTCTCCGGGATTGCAGCACCAGGCACAGGCTGAGGAGTTTGGAGGAGAAGGTTGTGAAACAGAAAAGGGTAAATGTCAAGGTCATTGGATTCTACAAATCGACAGGCTTCTGGTCGTTTATATAAAAGTATGGTTTCTGGACTACCGAGTCAGAAAATGACAATTATTGCCTTAGAATTCACATTCTGCTGAGAGTTCTGAAATGACAGGATTCATGTCATATCTTCCTTCCCAGAACTCTTGCAGCTATGCAGGTCACCCAGATTTTTCTACTATCTCACCTTTTTTCTTTTTACTACCTTATGTGTGTCTTTCAGAAACGTTCCTGTTCATCTTTGGGTTTTGTGTGCCACAGGAACACTTGGCTGCTGCAGCAAAGCCTCTGTAGTACATTGATAAAAGGCTCTTGGTGCTTTATGGGCAGTTTTTCACTGCAGGGTAGCCATGAGTTCCTTCCCCTTTTCACCCTCCTGTCCTGTGCAAGAACAGAGTGGGACTTGCACTGCATTGATAATTCCTATCACAGCCCTGAAAACCCTCCTACTTAGTTTACGTCTAAATCTTCCAGTGTAGTCAATTTTAATATTATACAGATACATATTTTTCTTCTATATTTTTCTTTCAGTAGAAATTTCATTAAAATTCTCTTTTTCAATCTTTTCCTAAACCAAATATTTCACCCCCTCCACTCCAAATACAGTTACTATATCCATTCATCAAGAAATCCTACAGTTTTTTGTTCACCGGACAATTGTTTCATTGAACTATATTCAAGTTTGACTTGTGAACCCCTTTTAGGCACTGTCTGTCATTGATTGTTCATTTTCGTGGCATAGTGTGAGTGCTCTACCAGTGATGACACTGTTCATGAGTTTTTCTCTAACCAAATAAAACCAGAAGCAAAATTGTCACCTTTATGTAATAACTAATAACTGATTTAGAACCACAGCCATACATGATCAGAGCCCTGCTGGAGCCCTTTGTTTCTGGCCTGTGTAGGTAGGGACTGACATTGCAGCTTGAGCCCACTAAAAAAGCTTCCTGGAGGAAAAATGGTGTAAAAATCTGTAAATAAACATTGAAACATTAAAGATTAATGCCTCCCATATATCTACCCAAAGAAGTCCACAAACATTTCTAGCATGGACAAAGGACCCACACTCACACAGACAAGACACAGACAGACACAGACACATACAGACTTTTTTTTTTTTGGTGTTTTTTTCAACAAACAAATGTAATTGTTTGATATCTAAGTATTTGAATCCTTATCCATTTATCATTCCCAAGCATTTTCCAATTAACAGTGGAAAGTTTAGAAAGTTTGTTTGAGCAGACAGTACAAAATTGTTTTTAAATTTCCTATTTTATAACACACACCCCCACCAATCCCCCTACCCCACGTTGAATATTTCAGATTCTTAATTATTCTTTTCTTCGGGTAAATGTGAAGACTTTCCCCACCACAGTCCTGAGGATAAATTCTAAAATCCCAGAACTTCTGAGCATTAGACTGTCCTGTTGTCAGCCTATCTGACAGAGCAGACCAAGCAGGCAGGAGATGGAGAGGAGACAGACAGGAATGTGCTCTGTTCCCTGAATTGCTGAAGGACAAGGCTCTTGACTCAGCTGCATTTAACACGTGGCCTGGCAGCAAGCTCTCCAGTCAGAACTGGGAATTTCAGTGCCACTGGCAGCTTGCAGAGTCCTTTCAAGCCTCCCCTGCAGCCAGGCAAAATGCCATTCTCGAGGACTAATTCTCATGAATGTCAGAAAAAGAAAGTGTAACTTTTCTGCAGCCTTCCTTCTCAGTTTAAGTGTTTCTGATCACTGTAACAGCATTCTGCACCACAGATGGGGCACAATCCCATCCCAATGAGATTAATATGCCCCATGTGCTCAGAATTATTTTCAGTCTTAGTTCTTACAGAATATGTTGTATAAGTATAATATATGCTACTTATGTTCTTCTATATAACATATATATCTCTATACAAATACTTTAAAAATATGAAAGAGTCTATTTCTATGACATTACTTCTTCCAGCTTTATGTCAACAAATAAAGACACTTGGCAAGCTGTCATATAGGACGAAAAGAATACATGACCTATGATGGAGCTCTAAAAATAGAAAATATTGAGTTTTATCATCCACTGATACATCTGCCTTTACTGATTTGAAGACTTTTTACCATCTGAGCTGCAAATGACATGTTTTTACACTGCTGGTTTATTAATTGCATTGCATTGCAGCAAATGGCACTGCAGAAAGATGGTGTCAAATGCTGAGCTCCCAGAGATACAAATTGATCATGGTGTGACAGGATTAAACCAAATCTCATTTCCATTACACATAAAATGTGTAAGTCTCCTGGACAGGTAGCAGATGACTTCTGAATGTAATGACTGCTGCAATATTTAACAGCTGCTAGTTTAATTTTATCTAAAATTCTTCAGCTGCCTTCTTTCTTTTCTATCTATTATTCATTAAATGCTCGTTTGAAAATTTCCTGTTAAACTGTGATTCAGAAATACCACATTTGAAATCAAGTGATATTACCAATGGGATGCAAACCTGCTCATGCTAATGAAATTTGTCAGAGTAGGGCAGGGACAGGGACAGACAGCAGCTTTTACTCGGCAGAGACAGAGCTCAGACATACCAACACGATTGCCACTAGCAGGAGTCTGGAGATCCATTACCATAGATAATGGCAATACTCTATGCAGATGTTTGCAGAATACACAGCTGCCTTCTCTAGAGAGGCAGCACCTTCCCCTTCAGCTTTGCAGAAATCTTCACACACAACGCTGGTCTCGTGTTGAGGAGGTTCTGCAGAACTTCCTACTTGGCTGCCTACAAGACAGTTGATAATATTTAGAAATATTGGATAATGGATAATAAATAGAAATACTTGGGGATTACATCTCAGCCTTTGAGAATTAATTGTGGCTCCACATCTTGTAGCCCAAAGCTCAGCTGTGCCCCAGTAAGCCAGCTCAGAGCCCTGCAGGGGGGCAGGATTGTGCTGAGATGTCCCCTCGCTGTTGGAGCTGTGGAGGGGCAGGATTGTGCTGAGATGTCCCCTCTCTTGGAGCTTGGAGGAACTGAAGGGAGCATCTGAGGGTGTGACTGCCTCGGTTCCCCTCTGGGACCACGGAGAGCCACCACCACTTGGCCTTGCTGCTGTGGGTACACAAGGGCTCAGGAAGGGACTGTCACCTTGTACCAGCACAGGACCCTTCCCACAGGAGGGTCCTGTGAGACCCAAGCAGAGGGAATTTGTGGTTCTTAGGAGTAGCTAGGAGGTGATGCAACTCAAAGAGTAAAAGCCAGGCTGTTCATGCCACACAGGGGCTATGTTCACCTGTGGACATGCAGATTTCTGTGTGTTCACCTGTGGACATGCAAGTTTCCTATGAAGGTCCGCCCAGGCAAACAGGGCTGCTGGCATTTGATATGCAATTTACACAGTCTTTGCCCCGTGTGCTTATCCAAACATTCCATTTCTGAGTGATCACTATTTAGGACTTAAAAGCATTACAAATGGCCTCCAACCAATCGCTTAATTATCAATTATTATCATTATCTTTCCTCTTTGACAAAATAAGAGCAACTTTTCCATGAGGCATTTTAAGACCATATGTGCATAAATACCACGAGGGCCTGATATAAACATAACGACAATCACAGATGAAAATTTAATGTCTCATCATGTTTTGAATTGATCTAAATCAACATAGCACTCAAAATGCCAAGAGGTCCCATTGCTCCTTAACACAAGGCTGCCACCAGCAGCTAAAAAGAATCAGTGAAATGTTTTAAAAATATATATATTCTGCAGAGACATGCTGCAAATATTTATAGAGAAAATACTTGTTTTAGTGGCTCCTTACCCAAATTTAAGCTTATTAAAAACAAGTAAAATTCAGTATGAAGCAGGACCACATTTAGAACATGTACTGCTCTTGTTACAGAAGCAGAGTATTTTGTTTATTTATTATTAGACAAACTATTCTAGCTGGAAAACCATCCAAGTTTTAGGAATGTAAATCCTACTTCAGCACTCATTGCCATCATATTGCCAGAGGGAGATCTCTATGAACACTGCTCAAATGAAACTGCTCAGAAATCTGTAGTTGGTTTAATTATCTTTAGACTAGAAATTGGACTTTAAAAACAATTAGACACACTTAGACACCTTGCAATCTTTTCAAAACTAACAGGCTAACTCTCTAAATAAGAAATTTGGAAAGAAATGAAAGAAATTATACTGACCAAAGCATTTATTATTCTTGAAAGTAACTTTTCAATTTCGGCTATTAAAGAATGAATCATTTCCCCCTTTGATTCCAGAGTTAGCATTTGAGCATGATGAGTCAGCCAGCAGGAGAATGAGCTACCACAGCTGGCAGCCCTGGGACATCTATCAGCTCTGTGCCCATCGTGGTCTGTGCCATACAATGCTGCTTTGAAATGCATTGGTCTCAGCAGTGTAAATGTTTTACAGTCTCTTCCTTCCCCTCTAACTTACACTTATAATAAATCAAGTCCTTGTATTGCTCTAAAACCATTCTGTTCAAATTAAATGGAAATAACCTTTACCTTTCTTTTTTTTTTACTGACTTCAAGGCTCTTCTCCATTTCACATTTTTAGTTATTTCTCCCCTTCATCTGTATTCCCCACTATACACCATTTCTTCCAATTTCCCTTATTCCAGTCACTTCCATCAAGTATCTTGCAAGCATTACTATTGCCTGAAGAGGAGAAGAATTTTGGCAGGATATGTAACTGTAGCAACAGAGCATAAATGACACTGTACATCTGCCTTCACTTATCCCAAACAGGGAGCACAGACATGTCCTGACATTTCCATGGTTTACTGATAAGGGGAAAGCTGGGCTCAGTGGCTGAGGCCAGGAATGTAATTAGGTTGAGATGCTTTACACTGCCCTGTAACCTGCAATTCGATGTCTATGTTTCCTCCAGACAGTGCAGTGTAATTCTTGTGCCAGGTTTTACAGAAATGAGTGTGTTACACATGGATAGAAGGTAAACAGCATTTAAGACTATGACGACGTGTGTGCAGGTTCTCTAGAAGATTAAAGGAACAGCTGAACGCTGACTATAAATATATGTTCATTTTACAAATGGAATATTAAAAAACCCTGCAATTTCGTGTTTGCATGTTTCTAGTAGGCAAGGTTTGGGCAGACATCTGAACAGCCGATCGTTTTCCAGTCTCCCTTGGCTCCCCGTGCAGCAGCATCTAAAACGCTGCCGAGGGCCTCGTGTGCCATCTCCTGGTTATGGAGAGACCTCGCAGCCAGAAAGCTGCTACAGAAAGGAAAGGGAAGTGCTAGAAGTTTAGCTGAGGCAGTGATAGAATCAGGGAATCTTTCAGGTTGGAGAAAACCTCTAAGACCATCGAGTCCAGCCCTTAATCCAAGTTCAGCACTGAAGCATGTCCCTGAGTGCCACATGTACCCAGGAACTCTCCCGGGTGGTCACTCAGGTCCTGGCAGCTGAGAGGACTCACCCAGCACACCCAGGACAGTGCACGGCAGGCTCGGCCTCTACTGCCCCTGCTGCAGCTTTTAGCATCAAGTCCCTTTCCCACTGCATTGGCATAGGTATAGAAAGGAAATTCCGCATCCCTCTAGAACATCTCTGACAACAGTTCTAGCAACCCATCCCACGGCAACACCTACTTTTGGTAAGCATCAATGGAAGAATGCAAATAAACCCTTGAAAATTGAACTGACTGGAAGAATACAATTAAATTAATAATAAAATTAATATAATTCCCTGATTGCAGGTAAGTATTTGAATTAGTGCCCAATTTACTTTACTGAAGATCCCTACTGAGTCCCTTCCTTCACAGGAACAAGAAGGTCTGGGCACTTACGACAGAGTTTTATCTCACTTGTTCTTAAAAATTCACAGGAAAGCAGATCTCACAGGTGTGTTACAGATGAGTAACCAACTCCAGTGCTTCATAGGAAGCTTTCCTGTGTAAAAACTGAAACAAAATCAGCTGTGTTTCAAAATCAAGTGCTTAAGCTTCACAGAACACAAAAAAAGCGCCTCAAAAAGCCCTGCAGCTACTACAATTTTTTACAGCAACATTTCACATTCATAGGTCTGCTCAATCCAATCTTGTCTACCTAAGTCAAAGTCTTTCAAAGTCTATGATTCTAAGTATATACTTATCATGGTCCTCTACTCTCTCTCATTTTGGCTGTATATATCCTAGCTGCAGTGCCCAAATGGTAAAGTATTCCTGCTGATGCTTCTCTACTGCCAAACAGAGCAAAATAATTACCTTCTGTCATGTGCAGCTCTTGTGCAGTACACCTCAGGTCTTCTCCCCCCCCCGCTTCTTCTTTTCTTTTTACGAACTGTACACATGGATTCATATTCAGCTTGTGATCTGTTACGGTCCCCAGAGATTTTTACTGAAGCTCTGTAGTTATTTTTCATTTAATATGTATCCTTCAAAACCATAAGACTTGATGCTGAAATTTAAACTGTTATCACACAATAACAGTTCTTGTGAGTTCTAAGCTTGCATGTTGTGTAAGTGTGCTTTCCATCCCACATTATATTTGAGCAGTAAAACTCACAGACATTCCTACATGTTCCATACAGTGTAGGTTGGGAGAAGAGTGCTTTATGGTAATCCTGGACAGTTTGCCTCCCTCATCAGAGTATGCAGAGTCCCAAGCAGGGCTTCTCTTGTTACTGTGACAGTTCCCTTCTCACCACCTGGGTGTGTTGTGCACCGAGCATGTTTTACCTCATTACTGTAAGGCAGAATAGTTTGCTTCCCCCCATCTGCAGGGGTGCCAGGGTGAAGGCCAGCTGCAGATCTTGGGATTCAAACAGCAGCACCTGCACTACATGGGGCAGCTAATGAGCAAAACAGGACATTGCATATGTATGAAATGTTAATTAGCACAGATTTCTTT